CTCTTATTCAATTGGTAAGCGGGAAATTCCATTCAGGCACTTGTTCCTAAGGACAGCTGCTTTGTGAAAGACTCCTGAGTGAGTGTTTCACCGACCAGTACAATGGTAATATCTTTAAGTCTAGAATTAACAGTTATCTATCCTACATAGCCTTATAAACCCGAAGTCTTACGTCCATAAATCAAACCGATTCAATAACTCTACCCTGAGTGGATCTTGGGCTTTGTAATTTGGGAAATAGAAACCAACACTGAATAATGACTGACACTTTCACCCTGCAACTCCTTTTCAGCAGACGAGATGTTGCTCGTTTCCCACCACTACCCGAGCGTTATTTCTATGGCAAATATTCAAGGAAGCTATGTTTCATAGTTCCATCATCCTGCCATCTCTCACTGAATAAAGAACATAATAGATTATTCCAACGTTGTTTCAAAGTTGAATGCACTTCATACATGATTGACCAATAAAAACCAAACAACGCAATATCTCAGTCTATGAAGAATCTTTAATAAAAGTGATACATGTTAGATTGATAAACGTTTCCTATTTGTTATCACAGACAGACCATGAGTTTCGCGGACGGATTGGATTAGCTGTCACCACGTTTTCAGTGCTAACTTTGAGAGTCTGGGAGAACAGAAAGCTTTATACCAACACCAAAATTGCAGTCAATACGGCATGTGTCGTCAATGTAACGCTATACGGCAGCGAGACTTGAAGCCACTATTCCAGTAGACAGAAGAGACGCCTCAGCACCTTTCATCATCGCTGTCTGATACGCATTCTGGCCATCAATTGGTCAGACCGGGTGACCAACGCCGTTAGTTGTGCCCAGTTATCCAGTGTATATGCCCTTCTACAATACCGCCGGCTTCGACATACGCCGTGCGCCGAATGGGAAGATTCCGAAGGTCATTCTGTACGGTCATCGGCAAAAGTGCATGACGGCGACCTCATCTTCGCTTAAGGGACGAGTGCAAAAAGTCACGTGACGGCGACGGTTATGGACATCGACAGGTGGTGAGAAGTCGCCAAAGATCTCTCTCGCGTTGGAGAGGCGATATACAGTGAGGGTTGGAGCAAAAAGAAGAGAAACGAAGGTTTTCCGCCGTGGAGAAGCGTGCTCGGCGATAAGAAAACTACATAGCGACATCGGGGTAGGGTGTCTTCACATACTGACGTTGCAGTCATTCGCGTATGGGCCTGTACAGCCATAAAGATGCTGCACCTCCATCAGCAGTTGAGAAACAACATTTTGGTTCAAAGGTTTCACAAGACCGAGGGATGTCACACACCTTTTGGTGATATGGTTACTGAAAATTTATAATCGGCCATCCTGTAGATTACTCTTCGAAGGAAAGGTAGATTCGGTTAAAGATAAATTTTAGGGAAAATCTGTGGCTCATGGCTTAATTTTCGTTATTATTTTTATTGAATATATGATAAAAAGCCTTCAGAAAGAAAAAAATACGTCTGGCCTGAAGCCAACTAGTAATTTTGAAAAAGGGAAGCAAAATTAATTTTTGAGGCTTTTCTTGTAAATGTATGTGTTTGCCGGAGACTCTTGCCTTATAGTGTATATTATAAAATTATTATTAAATGTACAGTGTGGAAAAATTCCTTTCTTTGAATACTTTCGATGCTAACTTTTTTTTAAGTCTAACAATTTTGACTGGGCTAAGTACTTTACAAGCGAGCGTCCCTCAGTAGCAAGTCAACTGCAGAAAAAAAAAAAAAAAAAAAAACTTATTTATCTTTCAACCCGAGGCTGTTGCTTCTTAAAAGATGCCGTTTTACGTACATCAAAAAGCTGATATCTTCAAAGAATCTTTCGTACTGACGAAGAGGAATTTTGTTAAGAGAGTCTTTGAGTAATTACCATTCCTTTTCGTTCTTTTCCTCCTTTAAATATCAGAAGATATGTTCACTGATAAATCACTCTTAAAAAAGATTTCGTATTCAGAAAAAGTGTCATCTCTGAGAGTAAATTAAGATTTTAAATGAAAAAGAGATACTAACATTTTTTTTTCTTCTTTTAAATTGGGTGAAAAATATACGATTAGTTTTTTTTGTTTTTGCTCCATGGAGTAATACGCATACCTTCATAAACACATTTACACACATATTATATAAAGATATCTACAAACATACACATTTAATCAGAGTGTATCAACCACTCCATGGCATATTGATTTGAGAAGTTGAATATGTAATATTCGATCTCTGTGATTAGTATTCATTACTGAATTAAGGGCATTGACAAAGAAATTACTGGTGAATCTATAAGGTCAGGTGCACATCTGACCGGCCACGTAGCTGGGAAGTACACTCACCAACTAAAATTAGTGTGCCTGTGTTTAAAAAAAAAAAAAAAAAAAAAAAAGCAGTACTTATATTTTATTGTTACTCTCAAGTAAAAGTTCCATGTGAGCACGTAGAGTTGGTCAGTGTTACAGTCACATAATCATCAGGCGGAATCCGTTCACACTACTTGTTGTTGTATACACGTGTCATAATTTCTCCATGTGGGACAAGTGTAAATATTTGTATAACATTTCGTGTATGACTTAGTGTAAAAATCTTTGAGAACAAAGCACGTTTATTATTTCTTTTTCTTTCAGCTGTTTTGTTCCGTTATAATGGATTGCATAACAGATATAAAAATGCCTGTAATGAGGAATAACCTTTCTCGCATAGCACCCCATTAAGACGAAGGAGATTCTAGTCAATAATTAATAACGAGCAGTCCCTGTGAAAATTTCACGTTTTTTCTGTAATTTTCTGATAAAACGTGCTTCTTAATGTTTCAATAAATCTCTTGAAAGTTCCACGACTATAAAATAGCCATTGTAATTCCCTTATTGCATGTTCACTTATTTGCTCTCAACAACTTTAACAAATTGTTGCCATAACAATAATTTGTTTATTTCTTTCTTATTATAGAGATGCTTGTTGTTTTTCTCACTAAAACAAAACTGTCTGTAATATATGTTTTCCTTCCGTCGTTCCTTGACGTCGAAATGGAATTGCCCATTATTTATTCGAGATAATGACAGGACGTAACGCACGTGCTAACAATAACTGATGGCGGGAGAAACAGAATTATAAAATGACGAACAGCGTTTATGAAAAAAAAAAAAAAATCCGACAAATAGCAACTGTCGCTACTTGGTGGAAAAACAAGAGAAAGAAATACTAGTCAAAAAGTAATAATTGACAATGCCTCCTCTAAGAAATTCAGACAACTTAAGAATATTACTACAATATTGATTGATGGATTCGTTTTCTACGGCTTATCAACCCTTTGCAGGTTATTTAAAGCCAGAAAATATTTTTAGATTGTAAGAACTTTGGTGGGGTGGATAATAAAGATTTAGTGATACAATTCTTCTTCATTGACCCATAGCTGGAGATAGAAGCGGTAAATTCTTACCTTTCCCAAGGCTATTTGTGCGTAAGTGAATATAAGAAACCCAACTGGAATTGGAACTCGGCTCTACGATAAAGAATTCCGTGACATTATCCATTACACCACCCGCACACCTGAATTTATAGCACCTGGTATTCTCAAGCGATTATTACGACAAGCAAGAAAAAGAGGATGAAAGAAATACTAGTCAAAAATTAATAATAATAATTGACAACGCTTCATGAAGAAATTCAGACAGCTTAAGGCTATTACTCGCGAACGATCGATCATCACGGTTGTAGGGGCACCACATGGACTGCGGCTGGAGTAGAAGTGGGTGTTTCTTGGGTAAGATAGCCTGACGGAACACAACCATCTCCAGGCTGGTTTTGAATTCATAATTTCCTTCTCCTAGACCGGCTTCCACTCAAGGCTATAGAATGCAGTTTTTTCATAGCTGGGTAGCACGTACTAAGTGAATGTAATGAATCCGACTGGAATTCGAACTCTGCTTTCCGATTCCACAATCCGAGCCGCTATCCATTACTCCACTGTGCCTCTCAAGATTATTAGTATTTGGTGTAAAACCAAGAGAAATAAGATTAGTGAAATAGTAGTAAAAATTATTAATAATAATTGACAGTGTTTCATTAAATACATTCAGACAATTTAAGGCAATTACGACGGAAACATTCACTCAAAATTAACAAGAACTGATTATAATTTATCAAAGACATTCAGACAATTCAAGACTTTTACTAGCTTCGTTTGTGGATTTCTCGTCTGACTTCTTGTTTTCCAGTCAAATTCTCGCTTGTGGATTTCTCGTCTGACTTCTTGTTTTCCAGTCAAATTCTCGCTTGTGGATTTCTCGTCTGACTTCTTGTTTTCCAGTCAAATTCTCGCTTGTGGATTTCTCGTCTGACTTCTTGTTTTCCAGTCAAATTCTCGCTTGTGGATTTCTCGTCTGACTTCTTGTTTTCCAGTCAAATTCTCGCTTGTGGATTTCTCGTCTCGTCAAATTCTCGCTTGTGATTTCTCGTCTGACTTCTTGTTTTCCAGTCAAATTCTCGCTTGTGGATTTCTCGTCTGACTTCTTGTTTTCCAGTCAAATTCTCGCTTGTGGATTTCTCGTCTGACTTCTTGTTTTCCAGTCAAATTCTCGCTTGTGGATTTCTCGTCTGACTTCTTGTTTTCCAGTCAAATTCTCGCTTGTGGATTTCTCGTCTGACTTCTTGTTTTCCAGTCAACTTTCATCTTTAAAAATTTAAATGCAATGCCAATCGTTATCTTCTATCTTCTTAATTCTTGTTCTTTTATTGTTCTCGCAATTGTAGTTTTTCTCGTTCTCTAAAACTCAGTAACCCCTTTGCGTCTTAGTGGCTTTAGTGTCTTGCTTGGGCGAGGAATTTAAATGCGATGTCAATCGTTATCTTCTTTCTTCTTAATTGTAGTTTTTCTCATATTCTTTAACAGTAATCTCTTGCGTCCTAGTGGCTTTATTGCCTTGCTTGGGGTGAAATGATTAAAAAAGGTTTAACAGCAAGAGAAATAAAATTAAATAAATACTTGTCAATAATTAAAAAAATTATCTGATAATATTAAAAATATTAAAAATTTGTTTTCTCTCCACCATCCAATAAATGAAATTGATGTTATAGATAGAGAGATAGAGATAGATAGATAGAGAGAGAGATAGAGAGAGAGATAGAGAGATAGAGAGAGAGTTCAATGGCACATCAAAATCTGGGTTTATTTCTATTTATTAACGATATGATTTTTTTTTACAATAACCCGTCAAATTTCCTTTTTGTAAAATGTATCTCTTAGACTAATAAGTAGGAACGATTTCGTATCTGAAATTTAGGGAGGCTGAACATTGCATCGGCTGAAAAATAACAATGGAAAAAAAGCTACGATTAGAAATAACACTTGCTTTAGGAATGCTGACTTATCTACGAATTTGATTTTTTTTAAAGCATTACGCCCCGAGCAAGGCGTGAAGCCACTAGGATGCAGGGGGTTGCAGAAGATTTGGAGCAAGAGTAGATAGAAGTGATAGAAGAAAGGATGAGGAGAAGGATAGTGGGTAGATCAAGGTAACTGGAGATGTCGATTGACATTACATTTACATAGTTGGAGATTATAGCTCTCAGGGAAACAGTAATTGGGAAGGGTGTTCCACAGGCGAGAGGTGCGAGGTATGAAGCTATTGGAGTAGAAGAGACGGCTACATTTAAAAGTTTCTACAGTGAAAGGGTGAGAGCGGGATGTCAGCCTCGTAGGGCGCTTGAATTCATGAAGTCTGGGAACCAGTGAAAGCAGCTCATCGGAGCAATTACCATGAAAGTATTTGTAGAAAAGACAGAGAGAGGTGACGGCGCGTCTGTGAGAGAGTGACTGTAGACGAGATGCCAGATCAGGGCCAATTATATTACATATCCGTCTCTGGATCTTGTCGAGGTAAACAGAAGGTGCACCGGACCATATATGGCAACAATACTCCATGCAGGGGCGAATGGTTTCTCGTGTTTTAGAAAACACTCATTATAGTTACAACATTTCGAAAACAATTTAGCTAAGACGATCATTTTAGCCGGAATACTTCAAATGTGAACATCGTTGGTAAACCAGAAGATTCTATTGTTGTTAGAACGCCATTTCTCTCAGCCTAAATCCACATCCTCTCACCTGACCTGCCCTGAGGTTACTCAGTGGGGAAGGAACGGTGGAGTAAGAGCAGTAATTAGTGCCAGACCATTATACACTTAATTAATACTTGCATTGACCTCTGGAGAAGTTAACTTGAAAGAATAAATTCTTTTTAGTGTATGGTCAGTATTAGTTCTTTGTATTACGGCCGGTTTCATCGCCGAAATACAAGCCTTTTTCTTTTGTCCGTTTCCCAGACCTCGTCAATTCAGCTGCTGTACTCTGAAAGTAATATGTTGTTGCTTTTGCAATCATTTAAATTCGTTTTCTTATTGATCAACTGGTTCAACGCTTCCAGACTTTGATTGGATTGACCCAAGAATTCTCGAGAATTACTGAACTTAGCTTCGTACAGGACGAGATCACATAAAGAAAAGGAGAATTAGCAAGATTGAGTTACGAAAATCATTCAAGCGGGGAAGGCCGGCCTGTATGTCGAGTAAAAAAATAAAAATCGCTAGTTGTGCCCATATCCGCGGTTTCAGTTATTCGCTGTCAACTCCAGAAAACCCCCAAAAACTGTTGGTAATTTTTTAATGCTCAGGTTGAATGTCCGGGTAACGCAACGCCATTGACAGTGACATTGGTGAAGAGAGATCAAGTTCCGGGCTAGTCTGCTACATTTACTTTTGCGCGTGGGTGGGTGGGGGAACCATCAATTCTTCTCTTTTACCCGCTCCAGCGATAGGATACATAACATGATTGACTGGGTCATCTATCCAAGGTTAAGAGAAGAAAAACTTTGAATACGAAACAGTGGGGAAGGCAACGGGAAACTAAGAAGTCAAAGGTAACACGCAAACATTGATGAAAAGAAAGCTGTGAAGAACCTTAATCACATGCGATCTTGTTGCTGGAGATAATAATGATTTACTGATACAGCTCCTACTGATTAACCCATAGCTGGGGAGAAGAGGTAGATTCCTACTTTTCCCAAGGGTATTTGCACGTAACAACCCCGACTGGAATTGGAACTCGGCTCTCCGATTTCCAATTCCGAGCAGTTATTCCATTACACAATCCAAGCTTACAGTACCTGGTATTCCCAACCAGCCACCGATAGGATATATATATATATATATATATATATATATATATATATATATATATATATATATATATATATATATATGTATGTGTGTGTGTGTGTGTGTGTGTGTCATCCACAGACAGACTGTTTCGTTGTACCACAGCTCATCACTGTGGTTAGACATGCGATTACTTCAACCCGGGATCGAAACCCGACTTATGTCAAATCATGATGTCAATCTCCCCACCCCTTAAGTCATCAGCGCACGCAGCGAAGAAAGGAAATTTTTAACGCATTATATACGAGATATAAGCATTCCCGGCTACCAGAGTGCTCAATTCATAGCAGAGAGCTTATATATATATATATATATATATATATAAAACCAAAATTTGACTTGCAAGAAAAAAAGAGGCGATCAGTGTATTTCCGTAAGATAACGCTTTTAAGGCGAGCTGTCTTTTTTTTAATTAAATTTCCCAATATCAAGAAATAAAATATTGATAGCAGCACAAATAAATTTAGTGTTCACTTATCTGTTACTATTCCGAGTTTCATAGAGATTACATCCACTCGTCATAGGTCTTTGTTTTTGTTTATTCTAATCATTTCACCCCAAGCTATGCAATAAAAATTCTTAGGATACAAATGGTTACTAAGAGTGAAAGAAGTTGAGAGAAGACAATAAAAGGACAGGAAATGACATTGGAATTAAATTTTTGAAGATCAAAGTTGTCTGGAAAGCAAGAAGCCGGAAGAGAGTTCCACAAGCGAGAAGTGCGTGAGGAGAAACTATTAGCATAGAACTTACGAATACAACAAGCAATTTGAACCAGGGAATTATGAGACCTAATTAACAATCTAGTACTGCGCTTAAATTTGTAAAGTCAGAGTACCAACGAGAAACGCTGACCAGATTAATTACCGCGAAAATATCTATAGAAAAGGCCGAGAGAAGATACTTTACGGCGACGGGCGAGTAACTGAAGCCGAGATGCCATGTCAGGGCCGGTAACATTGCAGATTATTTAGATTTTGTTAAGAAGCTCTATATAGCAGGAGTACCAGACCAAATCTGGATACAATATCCGATGCAAGGTCCAATTGTATATTTATCAATGTACAAGATACATTTTTTCTTGCCAGAATTTAACTTAACGATTTTCCTAGCAGCAGACTTAGGTTTCGTTCGTTTTGTTTTACAGCATATCAACCTCAATAGGATATTTAATATCAACAAGATTTTTATTGCTCGTAATATTTTTCAAAAATTTATTACTGCTAATATACTTTTATTCTTCAAAAATGTATTGCTGGTAATAAGTCTTTACAAAAATATATTTCTAGTATTAAAACCTATTTTTACACTTTCTTAGCGTTTTGATCCCAGTTTGGAGGTCAAATATTTGCCCATAGCTGGGATCCTAACAGGTGCTACCACCTCGGGTCAGGGTGAACTTGGGAATACCAACAATTAAGAGGTGGTTCCACGCTCCTGAAAATCTTCTGATCAGAGGCTTGCTGTTGGATGTAGTTTATCGTCTTACCCAGGACGTGCAGACTTAGGAATGTATTCAATTATTCCACTTCATGTTACTGGAAAACGCGTGACCCAAAAAATCGCAGTGAGTTGCTCTTCTGGATGGATGTCAAAAAAGATTCTTCAAAATGATTTATTGAGAGCAGTTTTCGTTTTGGAGGCGTGAAAATTAAATTCTACAGAAGATATTGGTTTACAGTTGAATGAATGAAAAGATATACAATCTTTATATATCAGATCATTTGTGGGTAAGTGAATGATAAAGTGTCCAAAAAACAAAAACAACAAAAAAGTGTTATACGTTTCGTCTTTTAAAAGAATGCTTCTCAGATTAAATAAATCTCCTTTAAGGAAATCGTATTTAAGTGTTATTGGCGAAGAAGGACTGTAAAATGCCACATGTGTTACAATCCGACATCAAGGAAAGCTGAAGAGATAAGGATGTAGAACTTCAGATTTAAATTTAAAATTGTTGATATCTTCTGTACGTAGAGGCATCGCAGAGACCCAAATCGCAGGATTCTTCAGTTCCTTCCCTATTTTAAATAGTCAGCTGATGATTTTTGTAAAATTTTAATCATTACATACATATTACTGAAATCCCTTTTCAAGTTCTCGCCCAACCCTGGCGAAAATTCCCTTGTCTTTCCAAGAATTACTGCTGTATATGATCGGTACCATTTCCGTGTGTGGCAGCAGAAACGTTGCGCTGCTGAATACCTTAACAGTTCTCCCGAAATATCCGAGATGAAAGCCGGAGAGATGTGCATTCATGTATAGCGTGCCTTGGGCAAATAGACTTAAAGGAAATCAACCTTCTTCAGATCAAACACCAGCCAATGTCTTCTATCTCAAAGGCTCACTTTGGTCACGGATATGTGGCCATTGATTTAATCGTGGGAAAGCCCCAACCCTGCATCTATGAAGCCCTACACCCAGCGATTCTGTGTCTTCACCGCAATGAATCCCAATTGTGCTACTTGACCATAAAGGATGGTTACCCTCTTTGACAGGACATATTTTTTTTAAACCTGCTATATATTTAGTAACATACTCATAAACCAAAATAAATCCGGTGGAGAACAGGTATATTGTCGAGAAAAAGAAGACATTCTTCAGTTACTTAAAGATATTTACTTAAAGTTCAAACAAATATTTCCTTGACTTCATAAAATCAAAGTTGTTTAAAATTTACGTACAAGCATTTATTTAATGTTGGTAAAGTGTTATTGAAATGAAAATGGAAAATTTATGTAAATATCTAGCCACAATTAATCATGACTTCAAGTAGCAGAAAGGAAATATTGACCAATCAGGAAATTTTCTGATTAATTAGCTTATTATCTATAGGAAATATCCTTCCCCAAATATTTTTAATTAGGCTAATAAATTAATTGGGTAATACGCTATTAGAGAATGTCTCGTTGGCAGTTGAAAGACATTTATCTTAACAAGCAATACAGATTCTGATGCAAATGCGTAAAATAGAGTTCTTTGGGCAAATCAGAACTTCTGGGATATATGAGGAATTTCCACAGTGTATATTACTATACAATGTTGGATGATTTTGTTTAGTGGCATATCAATACATCTATGGGTCATTTAATACCGAAATCCACATATTTGAACACGATTTTATGGATTCATCTACAGATAAAAATGTATTGTCGGGAATTTTATTTTAAATAGGTGTTGTTGGTTAGTAGAATTTATTTAGAGGCATATCAAACTTTATGGGTAAGAGCACTTCAAGACGATGTAATAGTTAGCAAGGTTGACTCGCTAGGACAATGATGACTGAGTAGAGAGTTCGATCCTCACTGGGCGCCCCCTACATTACGCCTTGTGCCACACCTAAGCTGCGCTTGAATATACCCTATCAATGACTATGGGATATTTAATGGCGAAATCTAAATATTTTGTACACAGATTTATACTTTTAAAGTAAAGACATATTGCAGATAGACAGATGTGGTGTGGAAGAGAAGTGACAAATATGTACCGGAAGACTACGGAAAATATGCCGCGGAATAGAAGGGAGAAACATATAGCGGAAGAGTTGGGGAAAATATGACGTGGATGAAAAGCGAGAAATGAGCTGATGACGAGTGAGATAAAAAATTTAAGAAGAAACGAAAGTGCAGGGTTAAGGAGGGAAGGTTCAGGCTTAAAGAATGAGACATAGTGCAACGTTAAGAACGAGACATAGTGCAACGTTAAGAACGAGACATAGTGCAACGTTAAGAACGAGACATAGTGCAACGTTAAGAACGAGACATAGTGCAACGTTAAGAACGAGACATAGTGCAACGTTAAGAACGAGACATAGTGCAACGTTAAGAACGAGACATAGTGCAACGTTAAGAACGAGACATAGTGCAACGTTAAGAACGAGACATAGTGCAACGTTAAGAACGAGACATAGTGCAACGTTAAGAACAGACGTGCAACGTTAAGAACGAGACATAGTGCAACGTTAAGAACGAGACATAGTGCAACGTTAAGAACGAGACATAGTGCAACGTTAAGAACGAGACATAGTGCAACGTTAAGAACGAGACATAGTGCAACGTTAAGAACGAGACATAGTGCAACGTTAAGAACGAGACATAGTGCAACGTTAAGAACGAGACATAGTGCAACGTTAAGAACGAGACATAGTGCAACGTTAAGAACGAGACATAGTGCAACGTTAAGAACGAGACATAGTGCAACGTTAAGAACGAGACATAGTGCAACGTTAAGAACGAGACATAGTGCAACGTTAAGAACGAGACATAGTGCAACGTTAAGAACGAGACATAGTGCAACGTTAAGAACGAGACATAGTGCAACGTTAAGAACGAGACATAGTGCAACGTTAAGAACAGACATAGTGCAACGTTAAGAACGAGACATAGTGCAACGTTAAGAACGAGACATAGTGCAACGTTAAGAACGAGACATAGTGCAACGTTAAGAACGAGACATAGTGCAACGTTAAGAACGAGACATAGTGCAACGTTAAGAACGAGACATAGTGCAACGTTAAGAACGAGACATAGTGCAACGTTAAGAACGAGACATAGTGCAACGTTAAGAACGAGACATAGTGCAACGTTAAGAACGAGACATAGTGCAACGTTAAGAACGAGACATAGTGCAACGTTAAGAACGAGACATAGTGCAACGTTAAGAACGAGACATAGTGCAACGTTAAGAACGAGACATAGTGCAACGTTAAGAACGAGACATAGTGCAACGTTAAGAACGAGACATAGTGCAACGTTAAGAACGAGACATAGTGCAACGTTAAGAACGAGACATAGTGCAACGTTAAGAACGAGACATAGTGCAACGTTAAGAACGAGACATAGTGCAACGTTAAGAACGAGACATAGTGCAACGTTAAGAACGAGACATAGTGCAACGTTAAGAACGAGACATAGTGCAACGTTAAGAACGAGACATAGTGCAACGTTAAGAACGAGACATAGTGCAACGTTAAGAACGAGACATAGTGCAACGTTAAGAACGAGACATAGTGCAACGTTAAGAACGAGACATAGTGCAACGTTAAGAACGAGACATAGTGCAACGTTAAGAACGAGACATAGTGCAACGTTAAGAACGAGACATAGTGCAACGTTAAGAACGAGACATAGTGCAACGTTAAGAACGAGACATAGTGCAACGTTAAGAACGAGACATAGTGCAACGTTAAGAACGAGACATAGTGCAACGTTAAGAACGAGACATAGTGCAACGTTAAGAACGAGACATAGTGCAACGTTAAGAACGAGACATAGTGCAACGTTAAGAACGAGACATAGTGCAACGTTAAGAACGAGACATAGTGCAACGTTAAGAACGAGACATAGTGCAACGTTAAGAACGAGACATAGTGCAACGTTAAGAACGAGACATAGTGCAACGTTAAGAACGAGACATAGTGCAACGTTAAGAACGAGACATAACGTTAAGAACGAGACATAGTGCAACGTTAAGAACGAGACATAGTGCAACGTTAAGAACGAACATAGTGCAACGTTAAGACGAGACATAGTGCAACGTTAAGAACGAGACATAGTGCAACGTTAAGAACGAGACATAGTGCAACGTTAAGAACGAGACATAGTGCAACGTTAAGAACGAGACATAGTGCAACGTTAAGAACGAGACATAGTGCAACGTTAAGAACGAGACATAGTGCAACGTTAAGAACGAGACATAGTGCAACGTTAAGAACGAGACATAGTGCAACGTTAAGAACGAGACATAGTGCAACGTTAAGAACGAGACATAGTGCAACGTTAAGAACGAGACATAGTGCAACGTTAAGAACGAACGTTAAGAATGAGATAGTGCAACGTTAAGAACGAGACATAGTGCAACGTTAAGAACGAGACATAGTGCAACGTTAAGAACGAGACAAGAACGAGACATAGTGCAACGTTAAGAACGAGACATAGTGCAACGTTAAGAACGAGACATAGTGCAACGTTAAGAACGAGACATAGTGCAACGTTAAGAACGAGACATAGTGCAACGTTAAGAACGAGACATAGTGCAACGTTAAGAACGAGACATAGTGCAACGTTAAGAACGAGACATAGTGCAACGTTAAGAACGACGTTAAGAACGACATAGTGCAACGTTAAGAACGAGACATAGTGCAACGTTAAGAACGAGACATAGTGCAACGTTAAGAACGAGACATAGTGCAACGTTAAGAACGAGACATAGTGCAACGTTAAGAACGAGACGAAGTGCAACGTTAAGAACGAGACGAAGTGCTGAGTTGAAGGAGGAGAGGAAATGCAGCGTCAAAGGAGGAGAGGAAATGCAGCGTCAAAGGAGGAGAGGAAATGCAGCGTCAAAGGAGGAGAGGAAATGCAGCGTCAAAGGAGGAGAGGAAATGCAGCGTCAAAGGAGGAGAGGAAATGCAGCGTCAAAGGAGGAGAGGAAATGCAGCGTCAAAGGAGGAGAGGAAATGCAGCGTCAAAGGAGGAGAGGAAATGCAGGTTTAAAGAAGGAGAGGATGTGATTTGATCAAATGAGGACCGAAATATTAGTGACAAATAAAGGCAGGTATGAGCAGAGAAATGAAGTGGAACGGTAAGGACATTTAAGGGGCAGAAGTGTAGAGATAAATCAGGAGCCAAAGATTAGGGACAAATAGTAACGGGATTATCGGAAGTAATAAGCAGTCTTAATATAGCTTATACTAAGTTGCGAATTATAGGTACAAATAATTATCTGACGAGTCGAAGCAGATAAGGTGAGGAAGACTTATGATCAAATAGGGAGCGGATGTGTAGCGACAAATAATTTCCGAAGAATAGGGACAAAGAAGGAGCAACTAGTATCAAATATGTAGCGGAAGCAAATAGTTAGGTTCAAATAAGTACCGGAACTGCAGGGTCAAATACGGAGGACAATGGTAGGGACAAATAAGGTGCCGAAGATTAGGGACAAATATGTACGTGAAGAGTAAGGACAAATAAGGAGCCGAACTTTAATGACAAATAAGGGGCCTAATTGTAAATACAAACATGTAGCGAAAGCGCCGGGAGAGACATGTAGCGGAAGCGCCGGGAGAGACATGTAGCGGAAGTGCAGGGGCAATATATAGTGGATGAATATGGAAAAATAAGCTGCTGAAGAGCGAGATAAAATAAATAATAAAAAACGAAAGAAAGTTAATTAGTGGCAAATATTTAACGGAAGTTTAGGGAGAAGTATGTCGCGGAAAAAGTAGGGACGAATGAGAAGCGGAAGTGTAAGGTCAAACAAGGAACGGAAGATTATGGACCAATAAATAGCAGAATTGTAGGGACAAATATGTAACAAAAGTGTAGGCACAAATAATAGCGGAAAATTATGTGGAAAAAACAGCTGGCTAATTTTGAGCTGATCTAAGGAAGCGAAAATGAATCTACAAGTAAAATTTGAATAGAAATGCAAAAGTACTAATTATTCCTATTTTCTTATCCTAGTTTAAAAGGATAATGCTTAATATTTTTTTCGATTATGCTTTTTTAATTTATATTTTGACATGTATTTTCTTTAAACTATTAAATATAATCAAGTGGGGCTGTTTGATCATTTTCCCCTCACCGTCCTGAATATTTTAAGAAACATAATTGATGTTTTTAATGAACTAATTAAGAGAATTTACTTACTGTACGAAGAAATCATTGAAAGGTCTTTTTGCACGGATCTCTAACGACAGTTCTGAAAAAAATAATTTATTTTTCGCAAAATTTCAAGAGAGAATGAGCCAGGAAACATTGAAATTTGTATTGAATATTTTTCCGGCCACATTTGGAGGTCAGGCCTCTGTCATAACCAATAGAAATAAACATGAAGCAGACCAGTTTTAATCATAATAATTTTACTATTTTAACCTTCCATATAAAACGAAAGAGGAATCATTCGATTACCTTCAATTTTCTATACAATACTGGCGTGTTCTTTTTTTATATGTGTTTGATCTGAATGGATTCATTTGATAAGATTCAGATGAAACGATTGAAAACTAAATCTTCGATCAAAATTTGCTTTCGCAAATTGCCTTTTCTCTAGAAACGAATTACTACAATAATTAATACTTAAACATATTTTATCCATATTATTGGGTTGTCCTAAAAGTTCGTAAACACCTGCGAAAAATTGAATTTTTATGCAACACAATCGAGACAAGCGATGGGTTCAGAAAGGGCAAGAGACACCGTCGGTTCCAAAACAAGATCGATTCTGCAAGAAAGTCATGTTGTGCGTTTGGTGGAACTTTGAAGGAATCGTGCATTTTGAGTTGGTTCCGAATGGTCATGCCATCAGTGCCGAACTTTACTGTCAGCAACTGGAGCGGGTCTACGAAAAGTTGAAGCAAAAGTACCCGACTCTGATCAACCGAAAGCGCGCTCTGATGCAGCAGGACAATGCCAAGCCACACACCGCCAGGAAGACCAAAGACAAGTTTGAAGAGCTGGACGGCGTTGGGATTCTGCCACATCCAGCCTACAGTTCTGACTGTGCTCCATTAGATTACGGCCTTTTCCGCTCAATGCAACACTTTCTGAAGGGCCGCCGATTCGACTCGTTTGATGAAGTCGAGGAAGCGTGTCAAGAATTCTTTGATTCGAAGCCGGCTGAATGGTACTTTCACCAGATACGAAAGCTTGCAGATCGATGGCAGAAAGTCTTGGAAAATGATGGTCTTTATTTTGAGGAATAATTTTTGTTGTTTTTGTTATTACTTGGCGAGTAAAATTTCAATTTTTTGCAAGTGTTTACGAACTTTTGGGACAACCTAATACTATCGAATAAAGCCTCTAAATTTTCGTGATTAACTGATTTGTTTTTTTTTCAGGTTGATCAAAATGTGGTATTGTTTTTTCGAGTGAATATTGCAGTGACAATTGTTTTGAGAATAACACAGATTTTTCCAGGACACATTATTTAACCCATAGCTTTCTGGGGATGGATGTATTTATATTTTTTTTAGAAGTGCATTTGCTTGCTAGTGAATGCAACGAACCCGACTTGAATTCGATCTCGCCTCTTCGATTTCTTGTTCCACGTATCTATGAATTACACCAGCCGCACATTCACATGTTTTTAAAGAAATTTTCTACATTTCAATAGCGAAAAGAAAGCAATAAACAAAATGCTCATACCAGGCATTAAAACGGATTCTGAATGACAAAATTACAAATAATTTCAAATTAAAATGAAAATGTTTATTTTATTTAAAACACACATTTCTCCTATTTATGTTGTGCAGAAATAATGCTTGCCTATAAAATGCCACAAAAACTGAAAAATATGCACTTGAATCCCATTCTCTCTTAATTTACCTTTTCTTAACTTTCGTTGTGATATTTATTGACTTACGCAGAGAGATCAATTGATAATGAATTCATAAAGTAATCTGCACCTCTTCCTTAAAAAATAGGTATATATTTTTACATTGTTTTTAATCTAGAGAGCCTATTCGAAAGTAATATGAAAGAAAAAAAATAAGAGGTGTGCAACTAAAAATGTCGAAATATTTCGATATTATTCTGATAGTTTCATAGTATAAAAAATAGTAGATGAAAGCGTCAATGAAAACGACTGAATCTAATTCATATTTAACCGTCTTAAAAGGCGTAAAATAATTTTCTCAAAGTACGGCCTGCACAGCGATAAAATTTAAGCGGTACATAACTCATGCGATTATTGGCTTATACTGTAATATCAAACACGACATTGCCAAAAAGACATAAAACAGTTGTAATATAAAACAAACTAAACATTTATACAGGATGGACCCTATTAGGTTTAGATTTGTTTCACGTTTCCACAACTCAGAACCAGAACTTTTCTTATCTCTCGCCGGACAGATTAAAAATATCTCGAAATCAATCCACCCTAGAAATAAAGGAAGCCAGTTCGTGCTATAAGTTCAATGAATATTTCGATAGCGCCTAGCATATTTTAGCACAGGTGCATAATTTCTAAAAGTTTTCGTCTGCGAAACAAACACTAATATGATGAAATCTAAAAATAAAATCGTAACAGTAATCTGTGGGTGATCAAAATCCTAAGATTCAACCTACACAGATTAGTGATACTTCTACAGATGAGCGAGTCAATACGTTGGAGAATGAGACTCCAACGAAAAAACTACAACCTCCTGTTTTTATATGGGATGCAGTGACACGCTACCATTCACGATAAACCTCCCCTAACGTAGGCACGAGAGCTAACCCACGTCCTTAAAACGGACCCTCTCTTCACTAAGTTAATCTCTAGTCTAGCATTCATGGTCACTGTGTACATGTATACAAAGTAATACTACCAAACTCAGGTTTTGAACAAAGTGATCATTTTGTTCATCTGTCAGCGATAAAATGAAAGTGGCATATTATTATTGGCTTATACTGTAATATCAAACACAGCATTGCCAAAAGACATAAAACAGTTATAATATAAAACAAATTAAATTAAACATTTATACAGGGCGGACCAAATTAGGCTTAAATTTGTTTCACGTTTCCAGCGCTAACTTGGTCGAACTCTTCTTTCAGCAAAATGGAGCACACTTCTCTATTATGCTTTAGCAGTAAGGGACTATATTAGCATGATGAAAAAGACGCCAAACTTTTATCGTCTAAATGTTTATGTTATTATTAAGAGGAAAGATCAAAGTATTTTGGGGATACTTTTATTTTTTACATTTTTTAATCGTTCCTAGTACGTCCGAAATTTTCGTTAAAAATCTTTTTTTTGAGTCAGCAAAATTGACAGATGGCAACCATTTTTTTCCATTTTATAAAAAAATGAAAATCTTACTTTGAAATTCTTTTCAAAACTTATTTTAATAAAATTCAGAAATTATAATGTTTATTTGAAATATTTTGAACCAAGCTTAATTTAGCTTCTGTGCCGAAAAGATGTAATTTGAAAATAAAACAAAGCAGGTCATAAACTTTCGCGTCACTTGACAGGTGATGAATGACATATTGACGGATTCCGTGAGGATAATTTGTACTACGGAAGGAGAAAAGTAAAATAATTTACATTTAAGTGAACAAATTTTTTACCTCGTTATTTTAAAGGAAAACTTTCAGCGCTCTAATTTTTTTTTGTACTTAGCTTTCACCTTTACGTTTACGATGCTTTATGGAAAATATATTATAAAGAAATTAAAACAAGTCTGTTAAGAGTGAGATTAAATTTCATATTTCATAAGAAAGGTATCTAATTAATTTATTTAATTTAACCTTTCTTATGAAATTTTATCAGAAAATACTACAATTTTATGTACATTTATTACATTTTACTGTGTTATTTGTATTTCCATTCATTTTATTATTAATTTTGATATTTCATTTATGGAAAAATGTCATAACTGAGATTAATATGAAAACAAGATCATATAAATTTCATTAGATGATACTGATACTTGTAGGTACCCTTCTCAGTTGAAATTGAAAAATCAAATTAACTTCTCCACACGTGTTTCGCAAAAGTAAAGGCCTTAACAGCGGAGAACAATGCTTAACTCAAATAACGCAACTTAATTATATTCTGGCTGGTCTTCCGTACTTTATAATTACAGCACGATTATAAACACAAAATTACATTTCTTAATTACTGCGGGTCTTCTAATTAGTCAAAATGATACAATTTACAACGCGCTAAAAAAGATCTATCTCATAAAGACACGTAGGAAACCCGATGTGGCTTTTAACTAATTTTATAATATTTTAACAACTTAAATGTAAAAATCTATTATAATTAAAAAATAACAAATAATTGTATTAAAAATTCATTTTTCATCGAAAAAATTGTTTGCTTTCAGAAAATATTGTCCGTATTCATAGAAGCAAATAAAAGCATTTGAAATTAAATAATATATTTGTTTTATTGAGTTTTGTATGTTACAATTCAGAGCTGATTTTCAGGTAGAGGGGGTCCAATTAAAAACACCCCCCCAAAAAAAAACATGATTTGCATTCTTCAAAGGCTTATGCTTTTAACTATTGTAATCACTAAACCCGATGCGATCGAATTTCTAGCGTTTTCATAAAATTAGTTATGGTGGGGGGTAATAA